CGATTTTTTAGCAATGTCTTTGCCTACCTTGGCAAACGATGACTGATTCTTGCCGACCGTTGATGAAAAGCCATTCATGCCACGGCTATTCGGATTGGTGGTATTACCATTGCTGCTGGTACCTCTGACCGGGGTCAAAGGGCGAGTAGACGTAGCCGCCGACGCCTGGTTGATCTTCTGCCAGATCTTGTTGCTCGCCTTACTGGCGCCGAGCTTCGGTTGTTTCAGAACCTTCGCCGAAACCTTTTTCGCATCCTCTTCGGCCTGCAGCGCCTTTCGTTTCGTCGATTGGTACGTGTCGTCGGTGGCCAGGATCTGCATACGGTGCGTTACCGAGCCGATCAGCTGCCACAGACCCGTCTCGCTGTTCTGCTGCACAACCTCCTGAAGACCCTGAGGGCCGAGGTCTCGCGATATGTCCGAAATTGTGAAACGAAACGAGTCGCTGTTCTTCGAGAAACAGATGCGTCCTTCGCGGCCATTGATCACAATATTACCGCCAATGCCGCCGCCGCCACCATCGCCGACACTCGCGACCTTCTTCTGCCAGTCTTGCAGCGACCTCAGACTCGAGTCGGTCAGCTTCACCAGGAACGCCGTTGCCTTAGGCAACTTCGGGGCACAGATCATCGGAAAGATTTCGGAAGGCGCGGTCATTCTACAAAAAAGACACTATTTAACCAAAGGGAATTTCAACAACGTCTCATGTAAATCGACTGGCCGAATAACGTGACACATCATAAACCAATGACTAGGTTCTGACCCAATGCCGGGCATCACAAAGGCAATGGCCAAAACTGACGCCAAATGCAACGTATATCACGAAGACTCAGAAAGTCCCAATGTGCTTTAGACTGATGGATTAATCGTTACGAAAATGAACAAACAATCTTCAGCTGTTCAAACATCATGCGAACCTGTTCGAAACAGTCTGTGCTTTAGCACTCAATGTACCAGATTCGACAAAGACCCAAAATTATAAACTCATCAACGTAAAAATTAAATAAAACAAAATCAATGGTTTGACCTGCCTTATTTTATGTTATTTATGACCACTGCTTGACGTATGTTTCATTAACAATACAAAATCAGAACATGTTGATCAAAATAAAGCCAGAGTTGTACAGCTGATCAATAACAATATTTTTTTCAAAGATGTATCCTTCATCCTCGATGTGAGTATGTCAAGAACGCAAGGCGATGCTTGCTGATATGTTTTATTTTTGAGTGTTACTTGGCAAGTGACTGTTTCCCAGTCCATTCGACGTGTAAACCCTCGTAAACTATTGTCAATGTCTACCCAAAGCTTCATTCAGCCCAACGGATTCCCAGCAAAGTAGAACACTTTATATAGACGTATAATATACAGTAACGAGACTGCTAAATAACTGCTCTAAACAATAAAACATACGCGAGAAACATATACGCAAAGGCCGAGTAAAATGGTGGGTAGTTGTGGCTTTCTCAAACAGTCCCTTAAAGTTTAAGTTTTAAGGAGCAAAGAAGTCCAGTAACAGTGTCCCATAGGATAGAATTTTGCATTTTATTTGATCACTAATGTTCAAAACCTATATGAACGTAAAATAATCTGAATCTTAAAATATATTCAACTTACTACAGCCGTATAACTACCTAGCGGTATCATAGTTATTACTCTACACTGACTGATACCAGTGATATACCATAGCGATATAATGCAGTGTTGCACACAGCGGAACTACTCTACGCTATACCACATCGTATGAGTATATACTCTACTATATTAGGCGTGCATATACTGTACCACACTATAAAGAAATAACATATAAGTAGTGCAGTATCCTATTCGGGAGTACACTGTGCTGATTATCATACTTGATCCTTAGCCATCAGGTCGGTAACGGAAAACTGCAGTCAGTAGAGGCGCTAGTACAGAACAGTATGTCTGCACACAACGTTCCACTCTGCTACGATCATATCAGAATACCATCCTGCTCCTTTTGTTTGAAAGTTAGTTTACTACTC